TTCTTCCTCCTCCTCCTCCTCCTCCTCCTCCTCCTCCTCCTCCTCATAGAATCTCCTCCTGCTTCTACTCCTCCTAATACCTCCTACTGAGACTAATAAGCTTCAAGGAATCATGTGCAGAGCAGTTCGATACGTCTACCCCGAGTGCGGTCATCCCGTTGATCCTGACCCCAAAGTCTGGGTCCTCCAGAGATGTATCCCTGCCGTATCCTTCGGCAGAGACTGCTGGTTCCCTCGCGACCTGCCCGAGAACTACATAGAGAAGAAGCCCTGGCCTAACGATAACCTCGCTGAGCCTTGCCGCATGCCTCACCCACCGCCCTACTCCGACGCTACCTTTGAGGTCAACGCAGAGGCGCAGGATAAGGAAGATACCCCCTCCTCTATTACCCTCAGCGACGTGGGCAAAGACGACAACCTCACGATCGACGACATCGACTCCATCGAGGGAGAAGAGCTTGACTTCTGGGCTCCTGTGGAAGTCAGATTTGAAGACGAGGACTCGCCCGTTATCCTCGCTGACAAAAAGACTGTCCTTGCTGATATGGAACCTCTGTACCTCGACCCAGCCGACAACTACCACCACGATGATATCAGCCTCCTCGAGGACGGCGAGGTCGAGGACCCCGAACTCACCGCCTATGTATCATCTCGCGTCTGGACCGACGAAGAAAACGCCTACTTCACCAAGGTGATTGAAGAGACAAACGAAGAGCTCGCCATGTTTTCAACAGAGGACAACATCGACTGGATTAGAGTCTCTTCTGTAGACACATCTGCCCCTCTTGGCTACGACCATTATTTCCCACCGGAGCCCAAGGATGAAGAAGACGTGGATGTGCAGAACTTTCATTGGTTTAAGCCCTGATTTGGAACTCGCCAGATTGAGTGAGGTATACAAAGATGCGTAGAATGGGCATATAGGGGTGAACTATGGGATACTAGGCTATACCGCAGAGCTTGATGGATAAGGGGGTCCAAAGATGTATACTTGGCATGGGATAGAATATTGCTTCTAGCTGCTATTCATTGACCGATACAAACTCTTCGACATTGACTAATGGCGCCCTGTTCATGACGACTTCATTGGTGACAAGCAAAAAGGAACAGGCATCACTTCAACTGATTCACAAAGACACCAAGATAATATTGAAAGCATCAATTAGGGCTAGCAATCATAAAAGTACATAACAGTCGGTCATCGTCAATCACAAATGAGATCCAAATCCCATCAAGCGCACCCGCAAATTTACTGTTTCTTCGTCTTTCGCGTGTCCTGCACCTTTTCCGCCTTCTCCTATCATTCCATTCTTGCATTTTTTTAATCACCTCCACAACCATTCATGTCATTAAACGATCGTCATATCATCTAGGGTATCGTTCCAAAAAGAATGTTTCCTCCTAGTCGCGTTTACAACTCGTCCTTCGCACGCTGGAAGGTCTCCTTGACAGCTTCGGTAGCCTCGCTAGCTGCACTGCCAACCTTGTCAGCGGCAGAAGCTGCAGCTTCGTTGGCTTGGCTTCTGAGGCTTTCGGCGTTGGCGGCAGCGGTGGCGTAGGCTCTCTGGAATCGGGCCAGGACGCTCTCGGTGAAAGAGGGCTCCTTGCCGCTGATGAGCTCGGAGACAAGCTCGCTCACGGATTCGTACTGCCTGAGTGCCTCGGCTGAGGCGGTAACGGCGGATGCAGCAGCTGCTTCGGAAGCGATTGATGCCTTGTCGGCAGCAGCGTCGGTGGCCTTGGCGGCATACGAGCTGGCGTCACCCCAAACATGCTCGTACCAGGCGATCTGGGTAGGTTCGCCGTAAACTTGGCCACTGATTTGCTCGACAATGTTGTTCCAAGAATCACCAATGGCAAGGCCAGCGGCTGAGATTTGCTCGTTGGCAGCGTCGACGACCGAAGAGATGGAGTCATCAACAGCCTGGGCGGCAGACTTGACAGTGTCGCCAGCAGCAGAGTAAACAGATCCTGCAGCTTCACCTGCCGCCTGGGCAGCGGAAGCAGCGGACTCCCTGGCCACAGAAGCGACAGAGGAGGCAGATCCTGCAAGGTCAGTGGGAGTAGGGGTAGCGGTAAGGGAGGAGAGAGCAGAAGATGCACCAGCCAGGAATCTAGAGTATCGATCCTGGGCGGCACCGAGACCAGCATAGTAGTTCATCTTGGCCTGCTCATAGTACTTCTCAGGGGCTGAAGAGGGAGTGGGTGTGGCGAGTCCAGCGGCAATGAGAGCGCTCTGGTACTGGATCTCGGCCCAAAGTCGACCTTCGTTGAGTCTCTGGGAAGCAATGGATTCAATACGCTCCCAGTCGAGCCAGGTAGGTACGGTAGTGGTGGCAGGAAGTTGCTGAGCGGCGGTGGTAGCGGCCTGCTTAGCCTTGTCAAACTGATCACCGGCCGCTGAGACTGCCTGGTCATAAGACGAGGAGACAGAAGATAGGAGCTGCTCATGAACTGGCTTGGGAGTACCATAGATTTGAGCAGAGACGACTGAAAGAGCGCTCGAGTATTGCTCAGAGGCACGAGAAACGGCGTTCGAGTACACAGACTGCGCAGCATCGGTGGCGCTAGCAATCGCATCCGTATCAACATAGTCATCAAGGACGATCTGTCGGTGAGGGACCTCTTGAGCCGCAGCACCAAGGAAAGCAGGCTTGACATGCTCATGCTGTTCAGAGAGAGGGGTCTCGTCGCGGTGGTTCAGGGGGTCCTCCTCAATCTCGACGAGTGGCTCCTTGTCACCAGCCTCAAGGGGCTCTTCACTACCATTGCTGACTACGGAAAAGGTGTCACCGATAAGCACTTCAGACGCTTCCGAGGCAAGGGGGGTCGACATACTGCTGTCTTCTGACTTTGCGACATTGGTGGCTGACTCGACAACTTCCGAGAGCTCGCTGGACGCTTCTTCAATAACGGGGGCGGCGGATTCGGAGGCAGTGGAGGATAGAGACTCAACAGTCTCTGAGGCTTCCTTGGCAATGCTGCTAGCGCTCTCTTCGCCTTCGAAAATGAGGCTGGAGGCGTCGCTGGCAATGGATTCGGCACTGCTTGAAACGGCTGAGGTAGCCTTTTCGATGATGTTAGGCTCGTCGAAAACAGATGAAGCGCTGGAAACGCTGTCGCTGGCAGATTCGGCAACTTCGGATGCTTCCTCCTTGACAGGCTCGGCAATGGAAGCGACAAAGTCCTCCAAGTTCTGTTCGGCCTCCTCTGCTTGAGAGGTTGCCTCTTCAACGACTTCTGAAAGGCTGGAGGCGGCACTGTCGTCCTCAACCGGGGTCTGAGCCTCAGCTTGCTTAGCTGCAGCTGCCTGCTCGGCAGCAAGCTTCAAAGCGTCAATGTCAAAGTTGTCTGATGTATCTCCGGCAGCAACCTTGTAGCGGGCAACATCCTTAAGGCGAGCCAGCTCCTTAGCAGCCACAGAGGCAATCTCCATTCCCTCGTCCTCAACTTGTGCAGCGGCGTCCTGGGCCTCGAGCAGAGCTGGGTGGGTAACGATCAATTGCTTCAGTTGCTCAGTCCACTCATTGAGCGTGCGCTTGAGCTCGTGGTACTTGGCCCAGTCCTTGTAAGTGATACCATCTGTCCAAGCCCACCTCATTCCGATCTGTTGCAGGGCGAGGTTTCTAGTCTCGTCAAGAACCTGGAAATGAACATCGGCGACAGTGACAACAGTCTCCTGAAGTTCCTGGTCATAGCCTTGGCGCCATTGTCGAATGGCTTGAGCCTTCTGCTTAATGGCCATTCCAGAAGATCGCACAGCGGTGACGATCTGTTGGTTAACATCAGCACCATCAGTGTTAGCTCCAGCAAGTTCTACGATCTTGTTGCGAAGGCCAGCGAGTTCTCGATCAATTGTGGCCTCAAGGTCGTCAAAGAGCTTCTGGCCGTTAATGTTGACATTCTCCTCAATCATGCGCTTGGCAATCTCGTCAACGCGTTCCTCCAAGTCAGTAGCACCCTCATCAGCTTGAGTAGCAAACTTTGTCTGCCAAGTCTCGAGGTCCTGAGCCACCATTTCGCGAGCCTTTCGTCGCTTCTCACTCTCATTTTCGGTGGGAGGAGGGGCCTGGACAGGGTTAATGTAGTCAGGAGAAGCAGATTCAACTTCAGGTACAGGGCTCTCAGTAGCAACGGGAGCCTGAGATGATGATGTTTGAACAGATGTGGTGCTCTGAGGAGCAGGCTTCTGGAAAGATGAGGCAGTTGATCCAGTGGTGTAGCTGTGCGGTGTCAGACAACGTATCAATGATATGTAGCTCAGGGATCTTACCTTGAGGAGTAGCTTTCCTGGATGGGTTTGGTGGTCTTGGTCTTGTAACGTCCCAATCGCTCACCAATGCGAACAAGCTGGGGCTCAACGTTCTGGACGTAGACGGCGCGGACGTGAGGCCAAACGTTGGTGTCAAGGAACGCATAAGTCTTATTCCATGTCCAGTAAGCTGTGGGAAGAGCAGTCTTGGTAGTAAAGTCGGAAGCTACATCATAACCTCGAATAGCGTATGGGTGCACAAATTCATAGCCTGGCTGGAGGTATTCATAGTACATCTGCAGACCATTGGTGCGGGCGATGTCGTAGTATGGGCCTAGCTTTTCGCCAGCTTGGTTCACGTAGGGGCCAACGGACTGGTCATAATGTGCACGCGCAAGAGCCTGGTACTTGACAAGCTGAGGCTGCCCATTCTTCTCCCACAAAGCCTGAGTGTGCGCCTGCGCCTTCTCGACCCATGGAGCTCCATATTGAACAGCGTATGCGCGAGTGGGCTGCCAGACCTTGCTATCGACAGTATCATAGTATGGGCGGGCGATCTCAACGTAGGGCGCTGCATAGTGGTTGTAGTGTGGTTGAACGTGAGGTTGCACGGTGTTCTTAACCTGGAAGTAAGGTTTACAAATCGACGGGGTGTTCTCGTCGCACTGTTCGAGCGAGGGTGGGCATCGGAAGAGGACTGTATAGATGGCGAACCACGTCGCGAGTCTAGCAGAAGGATAGTCAGCTTATTGTGCGTGAAAACGGCGGTATCTCGATGCGATAACGATGGAAAAGATTGGTAAAAGACATCAAGCGAGAACAAGATGCCATGACGACGCGCAGAGCAAACATACCTAGCAACGACACTAAAAGTCCATGCAAAAATACTTCTTCTCTTCTTAATTGATGCTCGGCGACCTGCGACAGGCTTTCCATTCGCCTTGCCGTTGATGTGGCCGTTGCCGTTCATGATCGAGCCGGCGGACTCGGCCATGATGACGAGCTAGACACGCGCTGGTCAAAGCAATCAATCAATGATGGAAGTCGATAGACGAGGGCCAATATTGGCAAGCGAACGGTAGCAAAGACTCCAGCTTTCAGCTACACGAGAGGAGGCAACGAGGAACAAATGTGTTCTTTGAAGCGTGTTAGCCTTGACAAAGTCAGGTCAGGTCAGGGTTGCAAAAGTTTTGGGAGCTTTAAGGTTGAGTGAATGAAGCTGGCTTACCTATAGTGCGTTACAGTTCAGGACGAACTGCAGGGGTTGCGTGCTGTAAAATACTGGTGCCGTGAAGCAAGCGAGAGGTCTAGGAGCTCTTCTGTGACACGACTCGAGACAAGAGCGAGACAGCGAAAGAAAACAACCGAAGCTGCAAATGAAAAAAGGGTTAAGCTCTTGGCTTTTGTATGGATGTATTGTCTTAGGAGAGGAGAAGGAGGAAAATAAGATTAACGTTAGGGAATAGAAGAGGAGATAAACTGAAAGTCACGGTTGACGTCGTTACAGCTGCCTTGGTCTTGGCCATGTCCATCCCATCCATGGCCTGGAATCTAACCCAGTGAAACTAACGTTGGTAGGTCTCTTAACGTTTACTAGCACGCACATCATATCTGTA